ATTTCGTGTCGAATCGTACGGTGTCGAATAATTTCGTGTCGAATAAATCTGTGTCGAATCGAGCGGTGTCGAATCGTACTGTGGTCAATAGAGTATCACCCGTGTCACTCTATAGGTGAGGCGTCCGGCCCGTCTCACCAACCACAATCGAAAATGGGGCTGGACGACCCGGACAACCTCCTGGGCCATTGCACGTGGCGTGCCCAGTTGCTCCTTCTAGCTCCAAAAGAGCTGTTTCCGGGCCTGGCGCTCCGAGTAGGCAAGAGCCTCCCGGAGTGCGTCTCCTCCCACGCCCTCCCGTAGCAACTCGACTCGGCGAAAATATCTCGCCGAGTACATCTGCACGAGGAGGGCCAGAGGAAGGACCTCCGTCAACACGCCCGCCGTTTCCGCGGCCACGTCGCGGAAGCCGCGGATTACGCGGAGGGCTATCCGTCTCTGGGCTCTGCGGAGCAAGGTAAATTTGCTCCACCGCGTGGACCACGTTTGTGAAGAGACGGCGGACTTTCTCTCGCGGGTCCCCAAGGTTTGGCAGAAGCCTCGCCAGACTATTGGCGATTCTTCCGACCTTAGGGGCCAGACGAGCGAAATGCTTATCAAAGCGCCATTTAGAGTCAAGGTGAAGACCGAGGTACTTGAAAGTTGTACCCACCTTGACCCTTGCCTCACCTATCTCGAGGCTGAGTTCCGGCGGCTGGTCGCGACAAAGGCCATTAAACCGCATGACCTTCGTCTTGTGGCCCGCCACCTTGAGACCCAGCTTCTCAATTCTGCCGACGACACAGCGCGTACTCTCCTGCGCCAGTATCTTTGTCCACCTCCAGTCGTCCACCGTGGCCACCACGAGGGTGTCGTCTGCATAGCAGATAGTTTTCGCGCCACGGAGGAGTCTGGCTCGGATCACCGCGTCGTACCTGAGGTCCCACAACAAGGGGCTCAAGACAGACCCCTGCGGGGCCCCGCGGCACATCTCTCTCCTGTGCGATAGTCCGTACCGGTCGGTATATTTTATTCCTCTGCCGCGGAAATAGTCTCCGAGGATCCTGCTCAGATAGGGCGGGACGTCGTGATGTTCTAGCGCCCGCCCTATGCTGTCCCAGGGAAGGGAGGTAAACACGTTGGAGATGTCTAGGACACCGCCAACGCCACCCTCCCCCCCTGCCTGACCGACTCGTCCGTGAGGGACCTAAGACGGTAGATTGCGTCTACCGTTGATCGTCCCTCACGGAATCCAAACTGGCAATCGGCCAAGTCGGGACCAATCCGCGACAAATAACTAATGAAGCGGGCGGCGACAACTCGCTCCAATAACTTTCCCGCCTCATCCAGAAGGGAGATTGGCCGGTATGCGGACGGTGAGTCCGCAGGCCGACCCTCTTTCCGAAGGAAGAAGGACAAGCTTGGCCTGCTTCTATTCCGGGGGGAACCACCCTGTCCTTAGACAGTCGGTGAGGATCTGCCTGAAGCGGGCTTTCAGGGGACCCTGTCCAAAAGTCAGACCCAGGGCTCTGCTGGGCACGCCATCGGGACCAGGAGCAATGCTCTTTTGTGTCATCCGACGGACGGCCTAGCGCAGCTCCTCCTCTGTGACTTCCAGCTTGTCGGACCACTCAACTGGATTCGACTCCGGCTCCGGAAAGGGCCACTCGCCCCTCCCATCAGGGAAGAGCGAGGTGAGGACCTTCTCCAGAAGCTGGGGGTCGAGACTCTCCGTGATCGGGGGGGCCCACGGGCGTAGCTTGCCCATAACAAGCTTGTATGGGCGCCCCCACGGATCAGCGTCGAGTCTCGAAGAGCTTCTTTCACGCCCTGGACTTGGCCTGGCTTATGGCAGTACGAAGGGCTTTTCGTGCTTGACGATACTTTTTGTACGCCGCCGTTGCTCTTGTCACTCCCGCCACATCCTTGTGGCGGAGGGCATGGGTGTACTGGTTTCTGGATCTGGCGCACGCCGCCCTGAGGCCAGCTATTTCGCCAGTCGACCAGTACACCGACCAGTTCGGCGGCCCGCGAGTACGCGGCATCGCGGCGTTGCATACCATAACTGAGTCGCCACACCGGTAGCACCGGCCCCTCCTGTTTTTCTCCGGTGCGGTGGAGCAACAGGTCGCTGTTACGTAGCCGTGCCGGAGGCATCTGAAGCATTGTAGGGGCCGGCGCTCTAACGGCTTAACCGGCGCCTTCACCCACCCCATCAGCAAGGATTCAGCACCCACGACTTTGCGCGCAGCAACGACGGGGCACTGGATCCACGCCGTGAACAGGCCGTTGGAGGAAGCGCGAGCTCGACTGACCTTTATATCGGCCAGCCGACAACCCCCAACGGTCGCCACGGCTGTCTTAATTTTGTCCAAGGTTACGGATTCATCGAGGCCCTTTATGCGGAAATCGCATGTCTTAACGGGTTTCGCTATCCGCACCTCGGATTCCCCCAGGGCAGCAACCATGCCAGACCAAAGTTTATCTGCCTTCTTGTCGCTGTTCTCCTCGGGGATTTCTAATATGAGGGCTTCCGTAATGGCCCTTTTGACCACAACGTTGGGGATGCCATAATCCTCCAGCGTTATGCCCTTCCTTGTCTTGGCCAACATCCCCCCGTCGTCTGCCCCGGATCCCGGGACAAGGGTGAGCGTGATGGCCGCATGGCGGGGAGGCCTACCCACCTTTGGTTGAGGCGGGCGCTGCCCGGGTTTGGGCCCTTGAGCAGCGGGCTTCCCGCCTCTCCCCAAGGTAGCAGGAGGACCCTCCTTCCTCTTTCTCTTCTTCTTCCGCTCCATCACCTGAGACCAAGTCTCTCTTGGTGGGGCCGGGAGAGCGGGTCGGTCGAGAAGCTGGCTGGGGGACTCAGGCTGCGTTGGCGCGTGAGCCTTGGCTCCGCCGGCAATGGTCGCGGGTTCTCCACCCTTCTCCCGATCCGCTCTCTCTTTTTCTTGTTTTTCTTCTTCCCCTGCTTAGCAGAAAAAGAAGTTTCTCCTTTGGGGGCGGTAGTAGCAGGGGGCTTGCCCCCTGCTCCTGTCTCCTTACCTGCAACATTTCCCTCTCCCGGCGGAACCCAGAGATGAGCGGAGGAACCGGAGGTGGATTTGCTCATAGAAGATATCTAGTTTCTTCCAGAGCTTGTCCATCAACCGGCTCTCCACATCTCGGATGGATTTGGGCCCTTCATCCGCTGCCGGCGTGGATGAGTGTTGGGGCGTTTCCGACATACCCAGCCCATCCTTCACTGAGGAGTCCATGTCTATGTTCTCCACAGGTGCGGGAGGCGTGGCCTTTACGTGAGGCCCCCCCCCCCGGCGCCCAAGAAGAGAACGGCATGGATGGCTCTTTTCCTATCCTTGAGGAAAAAAGGGTGGCTCGAAGTTGTGGGAGAGGAGGGGTCGAGCAGCCCTTAGGCTTGTTTTCCCCCGAACCCCCTTCAATCTCTTCATTCTGAGGGAGGTTAATTCCCTCCTCAGGTCCCTTAGTTCCTTATGGAGCGCGTCCACTTCACGGTGGAGAGTCTTGTTCTCTTGTTGAATGCTGTCCAGCCGTGATTAGACAGCACCCTTTTCCACCTCTAGGAAGGCGACCTTTTCACGAAGGGTCGACACCTCGGTTCCCAGCCGAGGGTTGAGTGTCTCGAAGCGCCGAACCTCCCTCTCCGAGTTAATATCGTGCGACTGGCCACGATATTAACGGCCTGTCGCAAGCCGCTGGCCGCCTCCTTAAAACGGCAAACAAACACGCCCTTAAAATTTTTGGACATTAAGGCCATGTCCTCTACCGACGCTGCCAGCTTGGCAGCCTGTACGACAACCTGTTTGGTCGCCATGTCCTCTGATATGACGACCCCAAAAGGCTGCCCCTCCGCAGTGCCCTCCGCCTGGTTAAGGGTAGAGGGCGCGCCTTGAGAGCGGCTTGGAACTCGGATGGCGTCGAAATCGTTGAGCAACTCCTCCTCAGCCCTAAGCTGCAATACCCGCTTTTTGGCCTCATTCAAGCTGCGCTTGGCGGCAGCTAGGCCTATATATTCCCCGGTTGTTAGAAGACGGCGCCCTTCCCTTTTTCTCTCTCCACAGCTATTTGTTCTCTTGGGCGACCCAAGAGGCTGGAAGGGGCGGGACTTACTGCGCGCCTTGTATTGTTGTTGGGGTTTCGGCGGCAGTACCAACCTCGTTTCCGGGACGATTTCGAGCTCCGAATCAGAGCCATTGTCCGGTAGAGGGACGTCCATCGGCTCGATCTTTTCTAGAATGACCCGGCAACTACCGGGACACTCTTTCCCGGCACCAGATGGACCGGAAGACTGAGCCGTAGAGTGGGTAGATAGCTGTTGTCTACCTGCGCTCTCTTCTTCCTGCTCTGAGTCCGAGCATAACTCGGACTTCCGAACACGTCTTGTGTTCCGGCTCCGTGAGGGGCCGAGACACAAGGATTCGCTTTCCTTGCAAACTGCTGCGTTGGCAGCAGTTTTTGCAGACGTATTTTTCTGTGTTGCCTCTACAGGGCAAGCAACACAGAGCCCGTCGTCAGATGACGACCCAAGGGTGGCCGGGACAGTACCACCCAAGTGCCGGGACCTGGCCGTCCGTTTGATCTGGTCCGGTACGTTGTTCTTCTTTTCCTTGCGCTCCATCATAGTGTTTACAAGGTAGGGTTTGATTTCGGAGTCACCTTCTCTTAGGACGGTTGACGACCAAGTCTGACAAGCCCGCCTTGCCCGGGTTTCTTGCTTCGGGATTGTCCTTCTCCTAGTGCGGCTCTTCCACGTGGGGTAACGAGCCCGCACGCCCGGATTTGAAGTCAGGATTTTCTCCCCTATCCCAGTTGCCCCCGTCTTTGGGGACTAACAGAGCTGAGAACTCCGGGTTTTTTTCGAGGTTTTCCTTTCTCTATTCCCACTCTTAGTACGGGAGCTCGGTGAGGAACCTTCCTGGCATGAGTGATTCTGCCAGGGACTCAAAGAAGTTCCCGCCAGTATAGCTCCCTCACTTTATCGCTCCCAAGCCTGGGCACCACAACAAGGTAGTGAGAAATTGCCCGAGACCCAGGTTAGACTTAGCTTAACCCTGGATCAAGGTTCCCTGACTACTAATCCAAAGTACGTATACCCACAAACCACTAAACACTTGAATTGTCATTCTTCTTTTCAGGATCATTGTTTCTTCCACTCAGCAACATTTTGAAAATTTGCCTAATCCAAGCTGTCCTACCCTACCACGACTAACGTTAGGTAAGTACCTAACCCGGTAAAAACTTATGAAATGTTTTTTATTTTTTCAGGATCGTTTTTTTACTGCTTACGCTAGCGCTTTAATTGATTTTTCCAAATTTTAACTAACCCTAAGTAAATACCTAATCCTATACTCAATTTTCAAATTGTTGCTAAAACTTAGCCCAACTACTTATATTCCACAAACAAGCTTCCACACCGTTGTGCCCACAATTCAGTGTGTTTTTTAAATGTTATTTTGGTGAATGGCCTTTTCACGTTAAATCATTCAAAAAAAATAAAATGTAAATAAAACTTTTTTTTCTGATTCTACAATATAAAGCCGTGGGTATTAGGCGCCCCGAATTTTGATTCCTTAATCGCTAAATATTAATACGGATATCATATTATAATACTAAAAATATAAAACACGTTACAACATATACACATAGCTTTTTTTTTGCGAAGGGGAAATGCATTTACGCACACTCTGACCCAAATTAATGTGGACCAAGATAGTGTGGAACTCACCCCACTAGAGCGCACTCCGGTGGGAAATACCCACTAAAACCCCTGCGGTGTCCACCTTCTGCCCTTTTAGGGCTGCCCCGGTACCTCATTTTAGAACAACCCAGAAGCAGCTCGATAGGCATGAGGACTTTTGCCCCCCTATCTTTAAATGGAGGAGCTTTGCTCCTCCACGATCGGAAGGAGGAGGGACACAGCCCCTCCCCCGCCGTCTGCAGGCCGAGCGCAATGAGAGGGAAACCTCTCTCGGCCTCAAGTCAAACGCCGAAACGGACTTGACCCCATGATAGTAGTATTGACTTCCCTATTGTCTCGAAACGCGAAACAAGAGGGAGGTTTTCCTCAGGGAGGTCTCGCTCAGCCACCGCTGAGTTGAGCCCAACTAGGGCTCAAAACAACGGGGACCGGGCTTCCTCTTAACATTGCCTGGTTTCTTAAAGGAGAACCAAGCAGCACCTACTATATCTGGTGCTTAACGCACCAAATATACGGAGGAGCGGCTCCCCGGATCCTTATATCGGAGCCAGGGAGAACCGCATCCTCCCTACCTTCACCGGGGTTTACTAAAGGGCACGGAAGCCCCCCGGCCGATGGCCGAGCATTGGGCTCCACCCATTCGGTGGGAGAACTCCCGACCCGACTCCTCACAGAGGGGACACCCCTCATCCTCTGTACAGCCGGCCGCTCTGTGCCCTGGCCGACCACAGTGATAACAAAGATCACTGCAGTCGACCTGGCTGGAGCACAGAGCCCTGCAGTGCCCAGGCTGGAAACACCTGTAGCACTGCAGGGGGCGGGGGCGGAGTGCACGCACCCTCGCCACCACCCAGCCCACCGGCAATTTGCCTACTTTAATCGCCTTGGCCGCCGACTCAGCTGGGCAGCAAACCAAGGCGATTCCACCCACGGGCTGGGAGCGACGCAGGGATACTACCCTAACGTCACTCCCGCCACCAAACTCTGCCACGAACTCTTTCGAAATGTTGTCCTCCGTGGTGAACTCGTCCAATCCCGAAACTAATATCTCCACGTTTCGGGATGGACGAGCCACACTGACTCCTTCGGAGAGAGCCTCTTTCAACTTGGTGGCAAGGAGGTCCGCTTTGGATTTGCGGTCCTCCCCCCCACCTCCAATAAAAAGTGCCCCTCCAGGATCCGACAGACCCTGAATACGCCCGCCGACCTAGGGTCTACCTTATTCCTCGCGTCTTGAAGGACTTGGGCATACGACATGCCCTCCCCCTCGAGACGCAAGGTGACCGCCTCAGTACGCGGGAGTACCCCGCGAGGCGGCCGCTGGCTTGACAAGGGTAGGGTCAAAAGAGGGGAAGACTCCTTTTGACCGGCACCAACGGCCGTCCCCCCACCTTTCGTAGGCGCCTTGGTGGCTTTTACCACCTGCTTATTCTCCTTCTTTTTCTTCTTCTTCTTCTTTCTTTTTTTCCTCGGCTTCTTTTCCTCCGCCTGTGTCCTAACAGGAACAGGCGGGGAAATCGGAGATTTTTTACTACCAGGGGGGAGCCGTCTCGGGAGCCCTCGCTCCAAAAGTTTTTGTAGCTCCCCCGAGACGATGCACCGCACCACCTTCTCAATCTCCTCCAGCCAGGAGGGAGGAATCTGACTCCCGCCCCTGACTGGAGTGGAGCGTGTAGCTCTTTCCGGCCTCGGCATGGAGACGTCTCCATGCTTTCGTGAAGCGCGTGAAGCGACCGGGAGGCCTCATTATAGACCTCTTCGATCGCCGCACGCGCCCCCACAACACCCTTCTTAATTTCCTTCAGGTCAGCGAGGCAGGAGGCATTACCTTCATCAAAGTCCTCGCTGATCTGGAGGATGGCTTCCGAAATTTGTCGCTCAGAGGCAATCTGCTCTTGAGCGACTTTTTTCACTACTTTGGCCACGTTGGCGACACCCCTCTCGATGTTGCCCACCGTCTTATGGAGAGAGGTGAATCGGGCATGGAGCTCCAGAAGACCTGAAACAATCTTTTCTCGGAGCTCCCTTGGCCTGCCCGCTTTCTCCTCCCTGGACATTTTGGAGCAACGACAAAGTCGCTCC